TCCCCAACACTGACAGAAATTTTTCTTCTTGTTCTTCGTCTTGAGATGACATCGAAGGGTGGTCTTTTGGCTCCTCGGCTTGCTCTGGCATTTTCCCGGATTTTCTCTCTGTTTGGTTCACTTTCCTGGAAAATTTCCCAGATGGGTTTTTGTGAAACTTGCTAAAAGATTTTCCTACTCTCCAGCTCCTTCTCCTTCTTCTCTTTCTCCTTCTTGATCTGTGCTAACAGAATTGGGAATGTTTGCTAACCACTTTGTGTGATGTGGATAGGAAAAGAGTAGGTGTTAAAATTTGGAGGGAAAAACTAAACAGAAATGCTCCTTCTTAACGGTTAACGACTTTATGATAGAAATGAAAATTCCTGGAAGAAAAAAATGCTAGATATGAAAATTCAATAATTTTTTCGGTTACAGAATATACAATACTATTTAATTGAGGAAAGAGAGAGAGACCTGAGGAAGGAAGTTGTTGAAGGCATTATTTATTTATTTATTTATTGGTATGACAAGGTATTTTTTCTTATAGATATAGAGATTTATGTTTACTTACTAGGAATAGTAAGGGGTTTGTAATGGTATTAAGAGCAGTAACCCGTGCTCCAGGTCTTATGTTCGAATTTGATGAGGAGAAGGTATCTCAAACACAAACTTTTAATGAAACTACACCAGCACTGGAAATATAAAACGAACACTCACAGTATGCGGCTAGACTTAGTTGCGTTTTCTTATTACTAGCCTCTTTGCACGCGCTTCCTCGCCTGTTAGAGGCTTTTTTAAAAAAAAAATTAATTTTTTTAGAATTAAAAAAGATAATAGGTAGTTGTGTTCCATAAAAATAGGATCCATTATTTGATTTTTCTTTTAATTTTAATTTTTTTTAAAAGGTGTGAATTTACCATATTATCCTCATTTAATTAATAATTTTAATTCTTAATGTTTGTATTAACCAAGGACATTTTCTGGTATTTTGAATATTTCACCATTCTCTGCCTTTTGCTTTATATATATAGATATTCTCCAAATTCAACCTGATCCACTTGGTATACAAGAACATATTTAAAATAATAACTACCTCCTAGCAAAATAAGGAAAACCTAAAACACAAGGAGTGAAACACATAATTCCGGTACAAGCAGGAAAAACAAAACATAAGGAAAATAGTAAAGGAATTAAATTATCAACAGAAAACGCAATCTCCTAATTTAGTTAGGGCAATAAGCATTGAGGTAATTAGGAGACTTGACTGATCTCTTGGGCTTCCCTAATTTGGCTGCAACAGTTGACTTTTCGAGGACAAGATTATCAACTGATTGAGTTGACTGGGATGCATATGCATCATAATCCCCCCTCCCCCAATATTTATTGTATATGAAAACAGGGCTTTTGACAAAAATGGTCCTTGAACTTATGTTCGAGTTTTATTTTGGCACTCCAACTAAATTTTTCACTTCAGTGGTCCTCTAACTCTCTTTTGTATCAAATTGGTTCTACCATCAAATTTTGCCATCAAATTGAGGGGTAAAACATTGAATTTGAGTAACAGCTTATGGAGGGAAATGTTCATAGATGGGTTAGTCGTTTTAGAGGAGAATAGTGCCCAATTTGACAAAAGATGAGTGAGAACATACAAGGGAAGTGTAAGTGGACAAAAGAGGAGTGAGAACATATAATTTCCAACAAATGGAGTGTAAATAGACAAAAGAGGAGCAAAGAAAATCATCTCCCTTAAATAAATTGGGTTCCTGGGGTATATAACTCCTTATTTCTTTTTTCACTACCAACTAAATTAGAAAATGCGTTGTTACATAATAAAAATTGACAGTTTCTTCATCCATCCTGGTTTTGGGTTGATTCTTGGCCCTTCATGTTCATCATTTTTCTTCTAAACCTTAGTTTTTGTATAATTTTCACAAACGTACTCCTAGTTGAGGGCTGGGCGGAAGATCATGAGAGAAGGGAGGGGAGAGTGAGATGGATATAATGATAACGATATATAAGGTGCAAATTGTGAGTTTTAATTTGATACAATTATGGGGTTATCGGGGATGTGCCACTACTCGACTTGAAATCACTATAGTCAAAAAGATTATAGAGTCAAATATGCGTCAACTCCACAAACTTTCTAAACCACAAAACTATATGAAGGAACACCAATTTGGGTGCCTAAGAACAATAAGATAAAGTTTGATGGCGTTGAGGATGGCTCTTTCTGCTTCCTGACACGTTCCACCCTGGACTCAAGGCAGGCATGGCAACAATGAAGAATGAGGATTTGAAATTAATGAAATCTAAATCCTAGAATTTCAAATTTCATTGTTTGGATATATAAAAAAGTTGCTGTTAGAATTTGTGTGTAAGGATTTCAAATAAAATGTAATTATTTAGGAAAAAAGAAAATCAATCAGTTAAAAACTACAGAAAATGAAAATAAATAAATAAATTTAAGAATCACTTAAAAATGTAAACAAAAAATTAAAAGAAAAGAATTGAAAAACCAACTCATACAATTTCATTTTCTTTTTTAATTTTCGTTCCATTTTCCCACTGAGATGGAGGAGAGAGAAGAGATATGAGAAATGACGAGAGAGGAGGATATGTAGAGACGTGAGATGGGAAAGAGAAGGATGCTAGAGAGGTATGCATCTCACTAATAACATGCGCTCAAATTCCTAGTTTTAGAAGTCATTTGAAATCCTTGTATTTTGGCCTACCAAATTTTAGGTGAAATTGAACCCAGACACAACCACTGCCTGCAATCCTCTCCGTTTAAGGATTTTCCCTTGGAACCAAACCTCTAGTTTTCTCTTTCGGTTAATAAACCGGGCTTCTCTCCCTCCGACATGTTGTGGAGAGCTTTCATCCCAGTTTTTTTTGCTGGGTTTTGCTTTCCTTGCTTTTGCAAGGTTCTCGTCTTTTACTCAATTTTCTTGGGGTCTGCTCTCCAGCCTCTTGGGCTAGGTTTTATGCGTCTTTGTAGATCTGATGCCTTGGCCTTTTGTGGAGTTGGTTTGAGGTAGTATAGATTTCTTAGAGCCCTGTTTATTTATGGAGGTGGAGTTGTTAGTCATGGGTGGATCTACCATTTTCTGGGTGTTGTGAGATCATGTACGTTTCTGGAGGCGATGTGGCCTTCTTTGGCCAGGTGAATGTTGAGCGATCGGGTCCTTTCACTTTTGGTGCTTCTGGTTCCCTGTTAGTGTAGAATATGTTGATCTATCATGATCTCTCTGGAGCACTGGTGCTGCAAGGAGTCTTCTTGATTATCTATCTTTCAACTTTGAGTGAGCTCGGCTTGATATCTTGTCCTATTTTATACTCATTGTCTTGTTGGATTTAATTTTCTAGATTTGTTGTATGTTACAATCTCCATTTGGGGTGTGTTCTTACTGTAAATCTCTTGTATTTTACCATGTTCTAAAAGAAAATTTAGGTTGATCAAATCTAAATCCACTAATTAATAGGCCCAAACGACCTCAAATATTTTTTGTTGTTGCAAAAGTTAGGAATGGAGAAGGGGGAAAACTCGAACACATAGGTACCAAAGACGCTTGAATCGGAGCATTTGAAAGGACCTGGGGCAATCCAACTAACACACCATTGGACCTAAAATACTTTAAAATACTTTAAAACACCTAATTCATTTAGGCCCAATTCTTACAAAAATTTTAACACACCCTTTGGATTCAAATCTATCTAGAGATTTGAAATCCAAATGTTGGATTAAATATTGGAAAATACTAGCCTGCTTTCCTGGAAGTAGGGACTCCTACTTTCCTACCAATTACAGTTTGACATGTGTGCAGAGATTTTTCATTTTGTGTTTTTGATGAATTATTTGTATATGTTTCAAACTGTGATTTGGAGTAGGAATGGAAGGAGGAAAGCAGTGTCCTTAAATATTTGACAACAAAAATTTCAGTAGGGATTTCAAACAAAATCAAACTAAAATAAGATTTGTAATTAAATTAGAAAGGAAAAAAAATTATTCAAAAAAAAAAAAATTCAACTTTTTCCCTCATTCTCTCCAATTTTGTTGCCCTCGAATCAAACACTCCAATTCATGAGAGATCTGAGAGAGATTGGAGAGAGAGAGAGAGAGAGAGAGAGAGAGAGAGAGATCAAGAGAGAAGGAGGAGAGAGATCGAGATCTTCAATTGCTAAATCGTGAAGGAGATCATGTATTCCAATCTAGGACTCAATGCACAAGAAGTGTTCGACGAATTGTTTGATAAAATTGAA